AATGTTTCATTTACCTTTATAGCCTTATGTAAAAATAGTTGATCCATTTATCCTTTATGCCTGTCCATATAAAATTATTTTTCATTTTTACCTCTTAAGCATGGAAATATAAAAATATTTGGGTCTAAGAAAATGTTCCCATCTACCAACATATTTGATAAATTTTTAAAAAATTCCATCCATCATTGATATTTACCAAATAGCTCATTAAATTACAAAAAAGTAGTCATACAATCGTTAAAGGACGAAAAAACTCTTTTAATTAAATTTCCATTATTCTTATTCTTGTTACTGCTATTATTAATATGCAGTAAGAAGAGGCACATTAAATATAATTACATTCATTAGTATTAATTAGGTGATTCGAAGCGATTACTAGGTGTCAGCCCAGTGGTTTTCAATCAAGGCAGACTTTAATTGATCTTCCAACGAGAGCTGTCTTCATTTTTTACGCTTTTAATTAATTGAGCAAAATGATTTAATAGAGGTTTTTATTTCATAATTATTATTACAGTTTGTTACCTCTAAAGTGTTTCAGTTGGTTGTTGAATTTTGCTGTCATAAATAATAAATTATCCGAAAATGAGATACATAATACTGTATACAAATATTTAGTGATTCATTATGTAAGATTTTATACAGGGTATTTCATCGGGCAACTAAAATAGGGGGAACTGTAAATAAAGGTGGTTCTTAATCTACTGTCGTATATGAGCTATTTTAGATACTCACTAGCGCTCAAAACCAGTCGCAAATCGCGCATGACCAGCAGAAATGAAATTATTGATTATTTCGCTATAGTCAAATATACAGGATGGTCAGAAAAATATTGGCAGACGTGTGCCATTTTTAAATTATGACAAAGGAACGTTTAATATAACGTTACATTACAACCTAGTAATAATGCTGTTATGGTTCTTATTTCCCATTCTAAATCAGCATAAAATAATTAAAACACTCGACAAAGTAATCTTTTTTGAAAACTAATTAACTTTAATTAGCAATATAAACACACTACAAGTCGTTTAGAATAAATAACTAGTACGATGTTTAATTTGAAAATAAAATTATGCATTTGCAACTAAAAACACAAGAAAGTAATATTGGTTGCCTAGATGTCAGTAAATTTGTACCAAAACACAATTTTATAAATAATCTAGTCAAAATTAGAAAAAATATTATATGTAAGACGTTACAAAATGCAGTTTTATGAAATTCGTTCATGTTATGGGACCTCGCTCTGCTCGTCTCGCAAATATTCACTCGTTAAATAAAATAAGGCATTTCGTAACTGGTTGCACAAAAAGCTATTAAATTTATTCTGGAGACTATTAGTCGTTTTGCAATTATTTTAAATATACAAATGTTACTGTTTATTCACTTATTGTTTTTTCCTCCCTTTTTCAAAACCAGTTCTGAAATATTCCGAGCATTTGAGAAGCCTCAGCGTCTCTACCCCTAAGGACTAGAAGAGTATTTAACCAGTTCCAAAATCGCTCGACTGTGATATTAAGGGACCATTTTGTTTTTTATTTTGATTATTTTTTATGCCACTGGTGAATGGGTATTCCTTCCTGACTCCAGTACCCTTTGGCTAGTGACAGTACTGCCTTCATCCCTTAATAGTATATTAATAACAATAGTTAAAGACCTATCAGTTTCAACATTTGGATCTTTTTACTAGTTGGTTGTTACACTGCTTTAATCTCGTAAGTCCCTCTCTTATTTAGGCCTTTTACGGCCGCACTTTTTAAGATTCGATGAAATACGTCAATCCCGAATCTCCCCCCATAGGGACGTCTATGGTCGCCAACAGTCGAAATGAATCATTCATTCTAGAATATACTAGAACCATGACAAGGAATCTAGATTTTCGAAAGGTGTGTAGAAAATAGTGAATGCATTGGTCAGTGTAAGAAATGGAGGTGCCTTCTAGAAATTTCAAGACAGGTCTAGAGCGTAACATTAGGATTGTTTTGCCATTTCAATTAGTTTATAGTTAGATATGGTTATGTAAAGATAACTTGTCAATGTAAATTAGTATGCGTTATAAATACGCTGTTGCTAGGTACACGCTAAAGTGTACACAAATCAAAAAATTATATACACGCGAAACGTCATATTGCTGTGGTGGGAGGTGTTTGTGTGAATACGTCTTGTTTGTTTTCATTTACGCCGTGACTAGCAGTAGTATTTTAAAAAACCTTAGAAGCAAATTTCACATACATGAACAAATAATAATAATGCCGTGACAACAAGAAAACGAAGCAACGACTTCTCGTAGAAAATTTCAATCCATATCTAGCTACGCCGACCGGCATAAACACCAACGACCTGGACACAGCTCACCTACTCTGTCAAGACGTTTCGCGTGTATATAACTTTTTGAATTGCATACAAGTACCTAGACACTGTGTTATAAATAAGTTATATAAATAGTACAATTATATTAATTAAACAATAGGGGTTTTTAGTGTAAATAAATTAATATAAAATGTCACATATGTGGCTTGCAGTCTTAATCAATTTATCTCGTTTCTTCTCAGTATATTTTTTGGTATTTGGTACACATGTTTTGCATCCACTACATAAACAAATAACGTACTAGCCACAAGAAAAACTAGGTTTCGATTAACAAAAAATTGTTTTGTCCTCAAAATAACACCCTGCATATCAGAATTTTCAAAATCCGTCTACATTTGAAAAGCTGATAAAAAACTTAATAAGAAACTGTTCTTTTCTATTGCTGGCCAGACTATTTTGCTATACCTACTCAAATTATCAACTTGAAGTTTTTGTTCAGTAGTATGTTAAAATGTCAAATGTCAAAAATATGTAATGTTAACTTATTGTTTTTTTTTAATTTAAATTTTTTGGCTGCGGGAACTGAATGAAATTATTAACAACTCATTTTTTTACATGTAAACAACTCCATTGCGTTTTATAGGTCCCTACTTGCAATTTTTAAACATGGCCCATTAGTGTGTGAAAGTCCAATATTTTGGTTATTTTTGGAAATACCAGAAAATTTTAAATATAAAAGTTTTGCGGTTTACAGAGGTGCCTGTTGTAAAAATACTTCCCAATATACAGCTTGTCCCCAAAAAGCATGGTAACATAAAAAATATTTTTTTCAAATGAAACACTCTGTATTTTTGAATTATACAAAAAAATATAATTATTTTTGTGTAAAACACCATATGTCTAAATTTAATTGGTTTCAAGCTTTTGACAATTGAAAATTGACTTTTTATCAATTTGACAAGCTGTATGTAGCACCCAAACGCTTGAAGTCAGGATAAAATGATTTACATGTTCCTAACAGTTTTTCATATCCTATACAGATATGAGAACTTTGGTTAACTCAATTTCTAAAAAAATCTAACTTCCAGATAAACCAGAATAGAATTCAAAAATAAAATAAAATACAGGTTGTCCCATTTGAAGAAAAAAAATATGTTTTATGTTGCCTTGATTTTTGGGGACACTCTGTATATTGGAAAATAGTTTCATAATAGGCGCGTCTACGAACCATAAACCTTTTATCTTTGTTATTTTCTTGTATTTTCAAAAACAACCGAGATATTGGACTTCCACGCACTAATGGACAACCCTGTATATTTAAACACCATACCTATATGTAAATATTTTAAAATTGTATTGTATTAATGTTGTTATTTTAAGTATTAATTAAAAGCATTCAGAAATATCAAACGTCTTTCATCTGATTTTAGAACAACTTAAAACATTCAAAAATCATAATTTAATTATTTGTTTTTGTCCTAAATCAGGATAATTTTCTTTAAACGTACATAACTAGGCTACTCTTAAAGTTAGTTCACCAAACTCATAGAAATTCAGAATCTGCACAATCAGACCTATAAAAGGGTATATTATACGATATTGATCGGTTAGAACTAATTGAGCTACAGCGGTAAGAATTTTTTTTTTTCAAAAACATCCCCCGGTTTATTGAATACCAATTCGATAGGTATTCTGGGCAAGCGGGCGAATTAGTACGCCCATGTATTACGTTCTTGGACAGTGAAATCACGGTGGCATTATTAGTAAAGGCAGAATGTAATTTTGGCTCTAATTTGGGTTAATTTTTACTACAGAATCCCATAATTTTGAAATTAAATATTTAGAAAATTCTACAAAATGGTATGTACAGGGTGTCCCAAAATTGCTGGGACATAGAGCTACCACGTATTGTAGATGTCAAAATGAGTCGATTGGGACCAACTAAAATGAACGTTTGTCCGAGAAACCCAAAGGAACCTGTTAGGGTTAAAACTAGCTTCACTTGCCACCTTCACTCCCTGACATGACTCTTTTTATTGGGAAGGCATCTTCATTTTTTACTCTTTGGAAAACTTTTTTTTATTGGTTTTGTGAAAAAATTTATTCTTGATAAAAAGTTCTGCATTGTCCAAAACTGAATATATTTTTTTAAGTCGTATGCGAGGTTTGTTGCTAATATTAATTATAAAAAAGTTTCATATGCCACCAATTGGCTACGTAAGTTGGCGGCAAATGAAAAACTTTTTAAATATTAATAGGAAAAAAAGTTATTCTTCATAAAAAGTCAAGAATGGTCTAAAACCTAAAATACAACCATCAGATATTAAATTTTATAAGTCGTATACGAAGTTTGTCCAAAATAAAGGTACTTTAGTTTTCAGCAAAATTCATTTTTTGACAAACCTCGTATACGACTTAAAACATTTTTAACTGATGGCTGCATTTTAAGTTTTGGACCATGCAGTACTTTTTATCGACAATACATTTTTTCACAAAACTAATAATACAAAATTTTTCCATGTGGTTCCAACTTAAGGATATATAGGTATAATAAAAAATTCGAGATAATGGATATTTTATTCTTAAATACGATTCAATTTTTATTCTTTAATCTTAAAAAGTCAGAGTAATGCACTTAATATTATTGTTTACACATAAATATAAATAAGTAAATAATTATTATTCTTTTTTCGCAGACTACCGGTTGATGTCCAGACGAGCAGTTTGTAGTGACAGAGACCAATGTGTTGTCCAAAGTTCGTAGTGAAATGTTATCCAACCGACGTGGTCGCGGTCAGTGCCAGTGCCAACACGATTCGAAACTTTCACGTCCAGAACCAGTGCGACATCAGTAGAAAAAGGAAAGAGGAACGAGGTGCGAGGGTCGGTGTTGCCCTTACCCCTCGAAAATTAACCAACGCCGCCGCTGAGTACTATGCGAATTGCACACTGTATCCGAGCCCTTATTGCGGTAAGTGTTCGTTTAAATTGGCGCAGTTCGTAGGATCTTTATTTAAGTATACTAAAAGTTTAATAATATGTCCAAAGATTTCGATAGTATGCCAATTTCTATAAATTAAATAGAATACATACAGTATTTCAATCAAAAAACGAATATGCATATCTGAAAAACACTAATAATCTGGTAGATTTTACTGAAAATAAATTTTTAGAGAATTTTAATATAGCGGTGTTGCCAAGTCTAATTATTTATAAGGTGTTAACAGAAATATGTAAAAGACTTACATAATGCAATTTATATTTCTATACGTTACAAGGTCACTGATATTCTAAAACCATCAAAATAATAAAATAACATAAAAAGTGTGTTTTTTTATTATGAATTACGTAGGACTCTTATATTCTTTGTATGTTATACAGAGTTGGAAAAAATTGGTGGAACACCTGATTTGTGGCTTAATTTTGGATTGTATTGAAAATTAACACCAATAAATTTTTTGTATATTTTGTGCACTATTTAATGACGCTTGGAGATTTTCGTCATCTGTCATATTTATCAAGATATACCGTCATTGGATGAAATTTTAAATAAATCACCCCATTTTTATATATTTTTCGGATAGATCTTTTTTTCTGAATTCATCAATGTAGGGTTTGAGGGCCTATGCGTTCAAAATAAAATAGAAAGTAAACATTTATTTAATAAAAAATAATTTAAATCAATCGAAGTAAACAAATCTTTAGATATCAGATATTCAATAAAGAATTGAAATAAATTTTACTCAGCTGCTCAGCTGGTTGTTATCTAACGTCATTTTCTTATTTGAACCGACAACATTGCTATTAACAGTTCGGTCCGAAATTCGGTCGAGATCAAATTGAAAAAAATTTTTTGGGGTGGAACAGAAATAACGTGCGGTGTTGCCGTTTGTTTTGAAATTTCTCGCTTGGGATGAAATGTTAGCTAAATTTAAAAGTATTTGTCTTTGATATACATGTTCCTCTGTTGCTTGTTCAGGTAATTCATTGAACTGCGTTTACTGCTGAATTTACAATTTCAACAAATTTCCATAAAAGTATCTATTGATTAAGAAACCTGAATGTATACTACCTCTTTAGAAATATTAGATTTAAATAAATTTGAATAATTTTAGGAGATAGTATTCTTTTTTAATAAATGAATAATTCATTTTCAAAGTAATTATTACTAGTACGTGAACCCCAAAAATGTATTACTTGGCAATTCATACTTAACAACATGCTTTTCCTTATAGTTTTTTCTACAATTTAATTGCTATATTTATGAATATTTTTGAACTATAAATTATAGTAAATTTTGTTACAAAAAGTTAAGTATATTTCTACAAGTCTACTACGTTATAAAGTAATACCTCTTCATTAAAAACTGACCACCGTAAACAACAGATGATGTGTAAACTTCTTAACAAACTTTTCAAGTAATTTCCTATTTTATTAACCGACTTCAAAAAAGGAGGTGGTTATCAATTTGTCGCGATATTTTTTTTTTTTTTATGTATGTTCAGCGATTATTCTTTAACACGGTATCCGATTTCAATAATTCTTTTTTTGTTAAAAAGGGGGTATTTCAGGGGTGGTCCCATATAAATTTAGTCAAAATCTAATAATTGGGTCCATGAGAAAATCCTCAAACTCTTCATTTTTTATGTATGTTCAGCGATAATTTGTTAACACGGTGTCCGATTTCAATAATTCTTTTTTTGTTAGAAAGGGGCTACTTTAGGGGTGGTCTCATATAAATTTGGTCAAAATCTAATAATTGTATCCATGAGAAAATCCTCAAACTCTTCATTTTTTATGTATGTTTAGCGGTAATGCTTTACCACCTTGTCCGATTTATATGATTTTTTTTTGTTAGTAAGGGGGTACCTCAGGGGTGATCCCATATAAATTTGGTTAAGATGTGGTGATGGCATCTGCACGTTTTTGAAGTCGGTTTTTTTAAATTTTTAATTTACACTTGTTTACTGTTTGTGCGTATGTTTTTTAACATTCAGTTTAAGACTATTTTAACAACTGCACGTTAAAATACTTCACTTGTAAGCCGATTAAGCTTATTAAGCGTGATTTAAAGTGAGAATCTCTAGTCCTTTATAATACCCCCCAGCAAGATAGATATAAACACTCAGTGGATGCCATTTTCAATGATACATGAATAAAATAATAAGCTTAAAAGGCAACAGAATAACAGTAGCCGACTATATAAATTCCAAGCTTGATTTTTGCCATTTTTCACCAAGCGATTGCACATTTGTGTTCATATCAACCACCTACGCTATCTTGTCAACAGTTAGTTTATATTCTAGGATATTGTAAGATTATTGTAGGTACGAATATCCATTAGCACCAAGCAAAAACGGCCAAACGACATTCTTACATAGGCGGAGTAATTTGAGAAACAAAAAATATGTAAATCTGAATATATAAATCTACCAAGTGATCAGTTTAGTAAAATCAATAATTAATTGCTCTATTCGCAACCCCTTAGGATGGATCCTTGTGGAATACTTATAATGACTGATATGTTGATTTTACTGTACACAGGATTCTATACAGTTGCAATTTAGAAAGAAGCTGGTCATATTGTACATAGTCAAATGCCTCGGTGAAATTTCAAAATATCCCAACAGACTCAATAAAACCAATTAGTTATTTGCAAAATGAATGAAAGCATTGCAGCATTTTTTGTTATTCTTGGCAAAAAAACCATGTTTATCATCTAAAAAAATGAGTCTTCTAAGAAAACAATACTCAAAAACTCTTGAAAAGCAAGCGGTAATACAGTGTAGTAATTGGTCTATAATTATTTAGTAATAGATGCTCGTTCTTTTTTAAACAGGTATGACTATGACCGGATTTTAAAGACCGAGATATCTATGTATGAGATTTTGAATCATATTGCGTTTTCCTCATTCGATTTGAATGCCTTTTGTTCCTTTTAAATCAGAGCAATAATAGAGAATAGATATGTTACGGTTAAAGTTTTTACTTGGCTAGTTTATAGACTAGCTGGATAGTATACAAACTATCCAAATGGCTGGCTGTTTTGATGAAAAATAATATTTCTACTAAAATACCTATGAATATTGGTTGGTTTGTATATTATCCAGCTAGGTTACAAACTATACAAGATATATCGCTAAAGCGCAAACCACAGGAAAACTAAACAAATTAAGTATTTGGATAAATTATGGACCTAATATTCGTAGTAACACATAATAACCAACTCGTCGGTTAATATGTAAACTGACCAATTCTCTTTGGTTAATTTAGTTTAGGATAGTCAAAAATAAAGTTTATTTGTAGGTACAACATATAATTACAGTCAAACCGGGTAACTTTGGACCAATGGGGCAACATTAGACCAGACCATGAAAAAAACTTATATAAATTATGTTTTTATATATGTTCCAACACAAACGTATCTGGCTAAAATGCCACAAAAGAAAGATTCTAAAAAAGAAAATATCATTTTGCTGGTGTCCTTTTCAATTTAAATACAAATTAATTATAACTAATAACTGACCTGGGACTCTACACTAAAACTAATATGGGTTACCCGTAGCCTTTAAATTGTAAATAATCAGTAATTTCCCTTGAACAAAATACTTTGGTCAATGTTACCCCAAATCTAATATAACTTTGGTCCACACCCAAAAATATATTTTTTTTTATATTTACAATAAATTTTAATTTTTTTTAATTTAAAAGTCATATAGATCATTTTACAGGAACACCAATATAATTGTGCAACAATAACAAATAAATTTAGATTTATAATAAAAACCTGGTCCAAAGTTACCCGATTTGCCTGTACTATTACTATTAAAAAAATAAGTAAAATAAGTAGAAGTGACATAAAAATACTAAGTTCACTATCGCTTCCAAAAGTAGGTTTTTAAATTGTTGCGGTTGATTCATTTTCAATAGGTATCTACTCTTAAACAAACTTTGCAAGACATCCCAGTAAACAGCACGTAACACTTACCTTAAACATAACCTCACTTTTCTAATAAATTAACCAAAGAGGATTGGTCAATTTGCATACTAACCGACGAGTTGGTTATTATGTATTACTACGAATATTAAGTTCACACCTTATCCAAATACTGTGGATAGTTTATAAAATAGTCAAAAACACAGGTTAATTTGTGTACTTTTCTTGTGGTTTGTACTTTGGCTATACATCTTGTATAGTTTGTAAACTAGCTGGATGGTATGCAAACCAACCAATATTCATAGCCATTTTAGTAGAAATATGATTTTCCATCAAAATAGCCAAACATTTGAATAGTTTGTATACTATCCAGCTAGTCTATAAACTAGCCAAGTAAACACTTTAACCGTAACAGATATAAAATTAGATTCTTTTGTCAGTGCTACTGCGCATGATTTTTTCTTGTCAATAACATCTAAATGACAGTTCAAGTTGAATGTCGTTTGTCGCGTTGGAATCGAACAATACCAAAGATGGGTAATTACAGCTAAATGGTAGTTCAAGTTTAATGCCGTTTGCTCGATTTAAAACGATCAAATAATAGGAAAGATATAAGCTTGATTCTTTTGTCATAAATACTACTTTTTATTGTGAATGACATCTAAATGTTAGTTCCTTAGGACCTTTTGGTAATGCTACTATACGTATTTTTTGAAACAAATATTTTGCCAGATGTAGGATTCGAACTTACGCCTCCGCTTGGAGATCTTGACGATTAATCTTTTACGCCTTAGACTACTGGACCAACCTGTTACAATTTCAGTAGTTATGTTAGTTGAAGTACTTTTGTTTAACTATCAAGACTTTATAAATATAGGTCCTTTTGGAAATGGAAATTACAGTTCACATCGAATTTCGTTTGCCCTATGCGAATCGGACTAATAATAGCATAGATATAAACGAACGTATTTTTTGCTTTGTCGCTGCCAATTAGCTATCATATATTGCATTAGTATGTCGTTTCGCCCACTATC